CATGGCTTTAAGGTTTGACTGTCCCACAGCTAAATTTTTGATCACAGTAAAATCCTATAAGAAAGCTCATGATATGTCAACAGTACAGTTAGCTTTTGATACTTGGTGCTGTGATTTTCCAATACCACATAATTCAAAGCATGCATTCATCTTCTCTTCCTAACCCACTAATCAATTTTGTTCTCATTGAAGAGGTGATGACTGCATATTCAATATTAATTGTTAGAAAGGGGCTCAGATACCATGGGGTTGGGGGCCATGTAGTCCCTTGACAGAGGAAAGAGAAACAAACTCACTATATGCTCAATATCATTAATAAGATTTTTTTCTACAGCTTGGGGGCATGAACTGCAAAATGGATGACAAATTAGAATCCAATCAACAACCCCAGAGTTCCACTGTCAGTAAAGATAAAAGTTTTATTACAGATGATCTTCAAAGCATAATCCTCCCATTGCTCTTTGTACAAGAAAGCAACATTTACTTATTCTTCCTTTTGCAGGTGTGTATTGTAATCATTTGGATAAATGTTTGTAAAAATGTTACACTTGTAAAGAAAACACCATAGAGCATAGTTAAGGCTGAAACTTTAAAGTATGGTCAATGTCTAAGACTTCGGCTGACTTTTGGGGACATGGTTCAACACCAAATAGGACTGCTTGCTGAAAAATTCATTCTTTGGTCATGCTAGTAGCAGCCTGTGTTGAAAGAAAGAAAATCAAACATTTGGAAGTGCATTGGGAAATCTAATAGAAATGTATTTGGGAAGAGTATTTAACGAAACTCTCTATATTTTTAGCACCAACATTGTAATGAATTTATGCCTTATCAATTCATTCCAATTCAATTACTCTCTTTTCAGCTCTTCAAAGCTTATGCTTTCTTCAAGGAGAATTTTTTCCCCTCTTTACATAAATTAAACTTTGGAATATCTGACAAAGCCATTTATCAAATTTCTGCCAATAATTCTTTGTATGATACTTGATATTCATGATGACTAGCCAGCCAGTATTCTCAGGCTGCTAACAGAAATTTAAAGTGATGGGATCTGATCCATGGTCTCAACAGTTACACCTCCTGCCATGCCATACATGCATGGCAAGACATATTATTTTGGAATCGGGAATTGAATCCAATCACACCGTACTTGCCAGTGCAGGGGGAACCCTGTATTAGCGCCAAAAATCAGCTGATTTTCAGCTGGGTACTGGGACTGACTTGGGGTCTGGAATCAGCTCCAGTGCAGTCCCCAGCCCCTGCCAACAGTCAAAACCACAAGTGAGTAGCTAAAACTGGATTGTCAAAATCTGGATGGCATACACAGGTTTTTTTATGCATGTTGCATCATAATCCCAAGATCTCCATATACTGGGATGAATAAAAACCATGTCTGCTTGGTGGTACACTTTACTTATCTTGGTGCACAGGGACACTGGCAAACTCATATGTGTGGCCCAGCTGGTCAGCACAGGTGGTTTTCATTCATTCTGGCACACAGGGAACCCAGGATTGGGCTGATACAGTCTGATCCTGGGATCCCTGTATACCGTGATGAGTTAAGTGTGTTTTTTACTAGTCTTGGTGCTGAGCATTTGGACCCTTCCAAAATGGAGATTCATATGAATTTATACTTTTTAATGCTTTGGTTGGTATGCAAGGTGGAATAGGATCATAGTGATTTAGATGTCTAAAAGCTGAGTAAAGAATGTTTAGAAACAGAGTAGGATTTGCACCATAAGATCACATTCTATCAACAGGTAAAAATCAAAATCTACTAAAGTTTATAGTCATGAAGATGTAGGTCATATTGTCTGCTCTTGTGAATTACAGCTTCTTCCAAAAGTGGATAGCATGGCCTACAGCTTAGTTGAAATCACCGGTAAGGTACAAAAAAAGGACTTAGACACCTGGACTAGGTACAGACAGTCAAAAGCCTGAGGCTGAATCAATGTGGTTTAGACTAACCTGCAAAAACTGGAAAAATTAAACTGAGAAATAACTGGACACACATTGACCATTGATTCAGAAAATGTAGCCACATACCTGCAGTGGCCCAGGCCAGAAGCTGGGGGGCACTAGAGCATGGCTGTCTGGCACTCTCTCTTCCTGCTGCCCCTGAGGTTTCTGGGATTTGCAGTCCAGCATCACAAAATCAGGACTCTGCACGGTTGCTCATCACTTCTTTCTGCTTCCAGATGCCTCTGGGATTTATAGCCCACAGTCACAGCGAGCAGTAACTTTTAGTAAGTTTAGCAGGGCAGAGCAGCTCTGTACTTGGGGAAACTGGAGTTTAATCCCCTCTCCCT